TTAAACCCGTAAACACACACACAAATGTTACATTTTGTTGTTGAATTCTCCGACTTGTCTCTGACTTCCAGTTTCCCTCTTACGGTATGTTTTGATGCAGGCTGTTCTGAGAGCCTTATATGCATATTTTGCGGATCGTCCTCTCAAAGAAATACCCCAGATCGAGGTAATCTGAACTAGAAAATACGAGATTGTATGATAAAACTAAACAAGCTTTTACAGAGTTTTGGATGTATATAAACCTCACACATAAATTCATAATAACAACATTCCCATTTATGAATGTTTAAACAGATGCCACTTCACACTATCATAGAGATACAGATGGGAGTTTCTGGTGTACAAGAGAAGCGCTACAAACTCATGGATTGAAAACAACAACTATTATCATCAACACCCGTCTTAAAGGTTTTTAAATTTTACTACTATACTCTGCGAATAAGAAGATTTGCAGATATCACTGGGGTTGCTTTCTGGTAATCCAGTTCTTCATTTATCCAGCAAATATTTTTTCTTTATACTCCAAAATTGTTCTATAATCTCAAGATGTTACATATTCTTCACAATATGTTCCCTTTTTTTCAAGTTTTATACTATAGTCTCGACTGAAATAACCCTACGAAGGCTAAATTATTTTTTAGCATACTGTTTGGTTTGCATGTGTTCGGACCGAGAGTCCCTTATCTTTAAAACTACGTCAACATATGTGGAGAAAGTTTGCAATGTTAATGAAAAGTACCAAAAAAACGTGTAATTTTGTTTGGTAGTAAATAGGGACCAAGAAATCGTTACGTTCAAAAAATATAAAGTAAAGGAACACACTCTAAGAGAGTGGTCCCGGCGGGGCTCGAACCCGCGACCTTCGGCTCATAAGACCAACGCTCTAACCAACTGAGCTACGGGACCATCTGCGAGTGTGTGCGTGATGTTATTTTATTAGTTATTTAAATTCAGAGAGATCCTATTTTGTGGAAAATAATATCAGTTAATGCATTCTGTTTCTCTCTCTTCACGGTCTTCCTCTATTTCTTCATTCAGTACAAAATACATCAAATTTTTTGTTTCCGTTGAATCTTCATCTTAAGTAGACAATTATATAGCCATGTAGTATTTGAAAGGTCTTTAGTTGACAGTGAAGCTTTCTAGAATCATTTGAAACAATATTCTAAAACATGTTTCTTTTATTTTTTGGAAAGATTTGAAACAACAATAGGAAAATTTGAACCGCACATGATAAACCATCAACCATTTAACATCATAAACTAGTTCTTTTATTGATATATTAAATTTTATAGAATTCAAACTTAAAACCAATTGATACAAAATCTAGATTAATTCATATAGAATATTACTTTAAATTTGATCTTATTTCAGATTTGAGATTCTAACATGAACAAATTAGAAAACAAAGGAAGGTATTGGAAATTTGGAAAGAGAATCGATCATTTGATATGATCAATTGATCATTCACCATCCACCAGGAAGCAAATGAGATTGAATAGTCGTTATAAAGATATTGATGTGTGTGGGTGGTGGGTCGTAAGCACCAACCAAT